AATAAAGGAAAAAAAAATCAGAGAACAAAGAAAGTTCTTGAAGAATAAAAATACAAGTGCCAAAATAAATTCATGTGAAGGACTGAATAATAAAAGTCATCATCAGCCATCTAAAAAGGCATAGGCAAATCAGCCACAAACTGTATATAGCCTATAAGCCAAATTGGGCCATCACCTAATTTTGTAATTGAAATTTTGCTGGAACACAGCCACAGTCATTCATTTACTTATTACATACATATGCATATAGCTGCTTTCACGATACAATAGCAGAGTTGAGTAGCTGCCATACTGTGGACTGCAAAGTTATTTACTATCTGACTCTTTACAGAAAACATCTGCAATTCCTTATCTAAAAAAATAAAGTTGAACAAAGCTAACAGAAGGTTAGGCAAAAACAAAGAAACAGAAAGTATAAAGAGACATGCAGGCATATATCCCAAAGTTCTGACATCTGTCTAGTACAAATTTCACAAGGATAAAACAAAAAGAAATGTGGAGAGGTTATACTCAAAAGAAATGAATGTTTCCTAGAGCTAAAAAAGACAAATTGCTAGATTCAAAGGGCCAACTGAATCAGTATTTACGTATTTATGATAAATATTGATTTAGCAGAATGAACACAAGTGATTCATGTTTAGATCAGTAACAGTGAACCTGCAGCGTACTAGAGAGATAAAAGCCTAGAAATCTCTGAATAATTCAGGTTGTATACAACAGAGTAAGAATGTCCAACACCAGACTCCCTTTTTATGATGCTAATGTAACTTTAAAAATCCAAACCCGATAAGGATGGGGGATTAAAAAGTAACTAAGAAGGCTAACATAATTCATAAATATAGATGTAAAAATTTTAAATTTTTAAAAGCCTCAAACTTAATCCAGCAAGGTATTAAAAAAAAAAAAGATGGAAAGTTGAATACAGGGATGTTCATTTTATTATTCCTTAAACTGTACATACATATACTTATTTTAAAAATTAAAAAATTTTAACACAGGAAGAATATAAAGAAAACTCAAAAACCCAGATAACGCCAATTATACTTACATTCTGGGGTATTTTTGTGGATTTTTAAAAGCATATGTTTATATCTTTACAAAATTAGAATAATTTAATCTCATATATATATGGATGTTTTCCCTAAGAATAAGTTTCTATAATAAGAAAATAAACTTAAAAAAAAAAAGATTCTTGAACACATGGACACAGGGAGGGGAGCATCACACACTGAGGTCTGTGGTGAGGGACTAGGGGAGGACTGTGGGGATAGGGAGGTGGGGAGATACGCCAGATACAGGTGATAGAGATGGAGGCAGCAAACCACATTGCCATGTATGTACCTATGCAACAATCCTGCATGTTCTTCGCATGTACCCCAGAACCTAAAGTGCAATAAAATATATATACTTAAAAAAAAAAGACTCTTACGCTGCCCTAAATCAGGAGATCAAAAGTGGTATGTACTCTTTTGTTATATTTCTTCACTTGATACAACGCAATTTGATTTTTCCTATCATTGTTGTTCAGCATTTGACTTTTCATGACAGCAATTATTTTAGCATATAACTACCACAATTTTATCTAAACCCTTTCTGTTGTATATTTAGGTTATTTCTAATTTCCTACTATTTGGCCGGGCGCAGTGGCTCATGCCTGTAATTCCAAAACTTTGGGAGGCCAAGGCAGGCGGACCACTTGAGGTCAGGAGTTTGAGATCAATATGGTGAAACCCCTATCTCTATTAAAAATACAAAAATTAGCCAGGCGTGGTGGCACATGCCTGTAATCCCAGTTAGTTGGGAGGCTGAGGCAAGAGGATCGCTTGAACCCAGGAGGCGGAAGTTGAAGTGGGCTGAGACCACGCCACTGCACTCCAGCCAGGGCAACATGAGCAAAACTCCCTCTCAAAAATAAATAAGTAATAAATAAATAAGTAATAATTTCCTACTATTAATGCTATGATGAACAATCATTTTACCATCTCTTAGCACAAAAAAGGAATTGATCTCAGGTGAGTTTGAAATGAATTGATCAATTAGTTAAAAAACAAACAGAACTACAAAAGAACAAAAAACAAAAGCTCTTAACAAGCAACAGGTAAATCTGAGAAAAAGCAGACTCTTACAGCAAAGAAAAAAATAATCAGGATCCGGTCTTAGGATTTCCTTACCTGTTGCTTCCTCATTATTTGGACCAGCTGACATGCCTAATCGCTCCTTCAGAGACTTGGAAACTTGAGCTGTGAAAAGAAAGATTTTCAAAAATCAAAAGTTGAACAGAAACTTTTTACAGGTTAAATACAGGTTTGCTGGGCATGGTAGCTCACACCTGTAATCCCAGAACTTTGGGAGGCAGAGGCAGACCGATCACTTTGAGGTCAGCAGTTTGAGACCAGTCTGGCCAACATGGTGAAACCCCATCTCTACTAAAATACAAAAATTAGCCGGGTGTGGTGGCATGTGACTGTAATCCCAGCTACTAGGGAGGCTGAGGCAGGAGAATTGCTTGAACCTGGGGGGCAGAGGTTGCAGTGAGCCAAGATCAGACCACTGCACTCTAGTCTGGGCCACAGAGCGAGACTGTCTTTCAAAAAAAAAAAAGTTAAATTTTTCTTCTCCACAGAACAGACTTATGTCAATCACAGATTCCCTAAAGTACTCTGGAAAGCTTAAAACATGCCAGGGGTTGTGGCTCACGCCTGTAACCCAGCACTTTGAGGCCAAGATGGGTGGATCATCTGAGGTCAGGAGTTCAAGACCACCCTGACCAACATGGTTAAACCCCATCTCTACTAAAAATACAAAAATTAGCCTGGTATGGTGGTGCATGCCTGTAATCCCAGCTACTCTGGAGGCTGAGATAGGAGAAATACTTGAACCCGAGAGGCAGAGGTTGCAGGAGCCAAGATCGCTCTACTCCACTTCAGTCTGGGCAACAGAGTGAGACTGCCTCAAAAAACAAAAATACCTGGGGCTGGGCGCAGTGGCTCATGCCTGTAATCCCAGCACTCTGGGAGGCCGAGGCGGGCGGATGACCGGAGGTCAGGAATTTGAGACCAGCCTGGCCAACATGGTGAAACCCTGTCTCTATATCTCTTTAAAAAACACAAAAAACAAAAATACCAAAAGAAACAAAGAAAAACTTAGTTTATATCTGAAAAGCAGAAACTACTGAATTAAAGGAAATAATTTTGTTATTGAGAGCCTTCTAAAATCTTATTGCCATCAATAGATTTTTTCCTCCAAATAAATTAAAAATATGGTCCTTAGTTATGAAAATCTTCAATATGATACACAAGGAGGAAAGGAATGTAGCAAAGAAAAAGTAACTTTTCCTCTAAGAATGCAAGAAAACCTCCAAACAGGAACATCTACTCATCAAAGCCAACTGGGCTATGGGAAAAATGAAAAGAAGTTTCTTCTTTCAAAGAATGTTAAAACCAAATAAAATGAGAAGGGAAAAAAGCACTTATTCTTTAATAATTTAACGCCAACGTTTGCAAGTCATACAAGAAGAAACAAAATAAATCCAACCTTGACTTCTTTCTCTCTTTCAACTATAAAGAATTCTAATTCCCTGAGGGGCGCAACGGTACTCCTGTAGTCCTAGCTACTTGGGAGGCTGAAGGAGGAGGATGGCTTGAGTCAGAAATTTGAATCCAGCCTAGGCATCCTTGCCCTTAAAAAGCGAAATCTTGTCTTAAAAAAAAAAAAAAAACAACCCAACTCCCAGATATCTCTTGATTTAGTCCACATATCTCCAAATCAACTTCCGAAATACCAAATCTATGCCACTACCTCCTCTTAATCTATTTTAACAGCCTCCTCACTCATCTCCGGGCTAGCATCCTTGCCCCCTTCTAATCTTTCTCCATATTGCAGGCAAGGTAATGGTTCTAAAATGCACATTTGAGCCTCTGATCCTTGTTTATAACCTATCTTTTTTTTTTTTTTTGAGACGGTGTCTCATTCTGCTGCCAGGCTGGAGTGCAGTGGCGCAATTTCAAGTCAATCTTCAGTCTCATTCTGTTGCCCAGGCTGTAGTGCAGTGGCGAAATCTCAGCTCACTGCAACCTCTGCCAGCCGGGTTCAAGCAATTATCCTGCCTCAGTCTCCCGAGTAGCTGGAATTATAAGCAACTGCCACCGCACCCGGCTAATTTTTGTAGTTTTTAGTAGAGATGGGCTTTCACCATCTTGGCCAGGCTGGTCTTGAACTCCTGACCTTGTGATCCACCCACCTCAGCCTCCCACAGTGCTGGGATTACAGGTGTGAGCCACCGTGCACAGACTGTTTATAACTTTTCAATGGGTTGCTGCTATCTCAGAATAAGCCCAAATCTTCATGGCTTAAAGACTCTATATTACGATCTAGTTACCACGCTTTTCAGCCCATTTCTACATTTTAGCCATATGCAGTTCCTTGAGCATACCACTCTTACTTAGCTCTGTGCCTTTGCAGGAGTTATTCTCTCTGCCTAAGACACAGTCCCTTGCTTTCCAACTTCACCTGTCTAATTTCTAACTCATGTCTTAGTCTAAACTTCAACATAACCTCTTCTGTGCCAGGCACAGTGGCTCACGCCTGTAATCCCAGCACTTTGGGAGGCTGAGGCAGGCGGATAATGAGGTCAGAAGATTGAAACCATCCTGGCCAACATGGTGAAACCCCGTCTTTTTTTTT